ATTACATATTCGTATTTTTCCATATTTTCCCTTAAAATTAATGGTATTATGACCGAAACACCCTGTATATTCACTTGTTGCGGAGTAACCTGTGCAAAGTTGTTTAAATTTGCATTTGCATCGAGTGTGTCACAAATAGAAGAACTACGTTGGGAAACTGGTATATTATTTGTAAGCGACATTATCTATAACTTTATCATAGTTTATTAAACAAATTATATGTCATTTACTTACATTTTCCCGCATTATACAGCTGTGCAGATATACCTGTAAAAATAATTTTACAGGGAAATTATATCAAACTTGTAGAAAAACTTGTTTCGCCTGTAAGTTTTCAATTTAAAGAGATCTAATATGTCAAATCCTATACTATATAAAATTTATTAATTTCAATGTATAAATAGTTTTATTATAAACCGTTACAAAAATTAAAGGATAAAAAAATTATATTAAATTTGCAACCTAGATTTTTTTTTAATTTTTATCCTTAGTTACAAAATGAAATATACGACGTACGCGCGCTATATAGTTATATATTGTTACATATTCGGAAAGCTTATGAAAAGAACTTTTAATTAAAAAAAAAGTCGACAAGATTCGCTGAGAAACAACGGAATTACAGACTGTCAAATATATTATTTTCAAGCGAATTTCGCTATTTTAATGGCAGGACTATGAATATTATCGTCATTTTCTTCGGACTCGCTATCGTACGCTTCCCCCACCCTTCCGCCGCGCCACGGCTCGCCGAAAAATCAAGTGACCCACTGACTTTTGACAATATTTCTTATGCACTTAACATACTTCCACAAATAAAATATTTTTATCTGGGAAAGTACTCGGGTTGCCCGTTATGACAGTATGTTTCTTTTGCCGTTACCCACCTAATTTGTTTAACAATAGTCTGTAACTCCATTGTTTTAATGTTTTCTCGTGGAAATGAATGGAAAAAAATTATAAGCGAAAAACGTGAATTTACGTAAAAATTATAAAATTAACCAGCCTGTAAGCAATCTTCTCTCCATTTTTATGACTGTGGAGACTAATATGTTATTGTACATAATATTTAGCATCTAGGTATAGTGATAAATTCAACTTGCCGAAACAAAAAGTTGCGCCCAACTCTATATTTCCTGGCCTATATAAGCCTAATGCTATATTTCTAAAGTGTAGTCAAATGTAGATTGCAGATTTGACTGTTTTACACACTATACATTCTGGAAACTATTGAAAATGTCAGGTTTTTATTAACACGTGCTCGTTTAAAGGAAACTTCCAACTTTAGCTTAATTGCGAGAACAGTTCTCTTTGTACAGCAGCAATGCTATGGTGTTTTTAATTATCACCGTAAACATTCTTTCACCCGTTGACAGGTAAGTATCTGCTTCCGCAGGCCCTTATGCAGAACACAATTAACAGTTTCCAACACACATAATTTGCAGCCATTAACAAGACCTCTCAGATCTATTGTGTTCTCCCAGAAACGGCCGACTCGATGCCTGCTCATTTTATTCATTTGTTTTAATTACGGCGTGCCGTGAACTTTTAACAAGGGCTTCATGGTTAATTACATTTGAACTTTTTAAGTATTATTTAGCGCTGCAACCGCCGTTTTGCGCCTCAAAAGGTTCTTACTGGCGGCGGGTTTCGTGCTGAAATGTGGGCTCTTGTAATTTGTAACGCGAAACCCTGAATTGGAATGATTTGTTCAACTTCGTTTTTACGTGGCTGATGTATCCTTTGTAATCGGAATCCTCAGCATCACTGGATTTGTCTTTGGAATAAAATCTGAGTTGTTTCTGAAAAGCTCAGATTTTATTACAAAGGCAAATCCAGAGATTGAGTTTATCTCTAAACGACATACTCTTGCTCTGAAAGAATAAATTTATTACGAAATTGATTTTAATGTCATCCTTATCTTTTTGTATTCACTGGATTAAAAGTTCTTAATGTTTTAGTCAAAGCTAAACCAATCCCTCTAACAAAAATGAACGAAGAACATTCGTCAAGGTGGCTGCCGAGGTAATTTAACTGATGTTAAAGAACAATATAAAATTGTATCCAAATTTGATGCTTCAACAATTTTTGGTCCGGTTGCCTCATCATAATATGCATTTTTACACATACTAAGGGTATTATTAAAATACAAAAAATAATTTTAAAATACAACAACAAACCTCAAAGTCGCCTTAGATAGCATAACAATTCTTCAAATTAGTTATCAGGTATACCAAATAGCCTGAAATACCTTTTAAATATTTTAGAAATGGCAAAATACATCAAAATAGCATTAGAAATGTGTCGTAAACTTCAAATATATAAGAAAACAGTAAATATGTATTGCGCATTCTTGGCTTAATGAATTCGTAAATAAACATAGTTGCAGAATGTGTGTTGATGAAAATCCTCAAACGAATCAGAAAGTTTTTATTCTCAGAAGGTGATACAAATCGTTATTGGAGAGCATTACAAAAAATCTTTAGCCTAAATTTATATGGGCACACATTGTTTTTTTTTAACAAGATGCTGCATCTTGTCATATAAATCGCCAGACAATTGATTTATTGCAAAAACAGTTTCCTTTCAGAAAATGTTCTTGGACTTTTTCCTATGAGGTTATGTGATCTATTTGGTTTACAGAAACAAGCCACATACAATTCTATATCTTAAACTGAATATTTAATGAACCATTGCAAATATGTCACGTGAAATGAGTAAGTTTTTGAAAATTGGATCTTCAGTATTTCAATCAGTCACACGAAGTCGAGGAGAATATTTAAACAATATTATTTTTAAAATTAATGTATCGATTGACTTTCAAAATGCAATAAATATTATTTATCCACAATCACCTTATAACCGGACTTTTAGCCACACATATGAACCGTCTAAAGTGATACTTTATCAACTAGTGGAATAAAGTAACCTTATTTCACTAGTATAATAATGAAAAAGTAATAAACCTACAATAAACCAAATTTTATATATTTACTTATTAACATTAACATTTACTTTTGTAGCAATAGATATTTCGTTTTTTGTTTTATCACATTTAACTTCCTCTCTGTTGATAACAACCCTTGTAGCATTGTTGCCATCATTTTGGAAACGCATAACATCTGCCAAAGTTTGTGAATAATTTGCACAAGTTACGGATGTCTCTTCTTGTAAGAAACAGCTATATTTTCCTTGAATTTTCCTTGCAATATCAAGTTTGTTCCCCATCAACATAACTTTCTGCTACAGAGAAGCTCTTCCGTCCACCATGCCGTTTGATGGATGTAAGATCAGCACGTTTATTGGCCAATAAAGTTGTTGGAATGCGCCTCATATAATGGCCAGTATATGCTTGTCGATTTGCGATATTCAGGAATGAAGCAACTATTGAGGGTACCTTCGCCATTATGTTGATTCCAACAGGCTGAGAAGTACATTGATTGATGTATCTTAAAAAGAATCTTGTCTTGTGTTAGGCGAATTGGGCGCAGAGAAATATGTTTTTTGCTTATTTCAACAGCATTCACGCAAAATCCTTCTTTTGTAATTGTAAATTTTCTGGAAATGCCTGTCTTGGTGTTAGGTATTGAAACAAGTAGTTAACTGCCCCAGTAAAAAATTCTTCAATATGTGCTCTTTCCAATACTGCAGCCTTTTTGCTTTGTATCCTTTCGATTCACTCTTCAAATAAGCAGTAAGCTTGTTATATTTTCCAATATCTATATTTGTGTAGACCTTTATAGTAACCTTCAACATATTTGCATATTTTTTCTTCAAATTTAAAAAATACGATAGCATAACTTCTTCATTTATTGTTTTTATTCTCCGTTTTTCCCTCCATTCGTAAAATTAGGCGAACACTTTTTCGTAATGTTCTTTGGATTTCGCTGGCAAGAAATGAAAAATTGCTTCTTGAGCTTCTTCAAAAACAGCCACAGGAACACAATTAAGTACTTTCCTGCATTTTTACCAAATTCAGATAGAACTGTTTATTAAATAATTGATAATAAACAACGTACCAGAGCAACCAGTAGGTATAACAAAACCTACCACATTTCAGTGAGTACTAGTAAGAAATATCAAGTCGTGCGAATCTTTTTTTAATAAATTCCAATAACTCTGATTCCAGAAATATGATTGTGATGTGATTATGGAAAAAACGTTGTATTGCATTCGTGTTTTAATTGCCTTTTATCCACTTAAGAATATAATGCTCGAACTACGTTCTTCCGTGGATAAAACTAAAAACACAATAAATAACTATGATTTTATTATTTGCAGTTATTATTATGTTTCACTTTAAAGTTCCGACACGTTTATTGCAACACCATTTATTTTAAAGTATTCTCAAGCTTTTAAGGTATTTTCACATATTTAATGGCTATCCCGAAACATTTAGAAAATTTCGAAGTGTTTCTAATGCTATCTTGACATATTTTACCAATATTAATAACATGAATAATTCTGATGGTTGTTTTATGTTTCAACAGCATATCTACTGTTTAAGTTAAAACTGATTGTTCCGTTAGATCTAAAATCCTCTTGTATTTCGGTATTAGTCTAATATGGGTAATTATAGAAACTACGAGTTGGTAACTATAGAAAATGTAAGCAAAACGCTGTTGCCGCAGAATGAATGCAGGCGAATCATTTTCCTCTTCGGCAAGTGTTCCAAGATTTGTAATGCTCGTTTAAAGAGCAAAATTAAACACTTAGTATAATGTGTCATCTTTTTCTACTTTTTATTACAAGTTTTTATATGTCAGTGTCATTAGTAATTTGCTTGGTAATTCTAGATGCCGCGTTTAATGGAACCAGAGAAAGTGAGAGCTATAACTTTACTTCAGAATGATTGGTCATTTCAGATGATCTGCTGAGCATTGATCTGACAAGAACAGCATATTTAAACTCAAAGAAAAATGGATTACGGAGGGTCACGTACGTTATGTTCACGGAGGTGGACATCGAAAAGTAAGCACCACCTAAGAATAAATCCTTTCGACATGGCAGTAGCAGCTTCCTTTGAGACGAATTTTCCTGGATCAGTGCGAACTGCAAGGAAGCGGGTGATAGATTCGGAGCTGAAGAATTATGTGGCCGCAAATATAGTTGCTTTAACTCCCCAGTATAAAGAACAGAGGTTAGAGTTTGCAAGACAATTTGTAGGAATCCCAGACAACTTCTGGGAGAATATTATATTTTCGGACGAAAAAAGTTTTCAGTCTTGCTCCGATGCTTCTGTCCGTGTCTACCCACCATTAACGTTTGGGTTGGATAAGCTGCCAAAGTCCTGATGTTTGTTGTGACTATGCTGTATCCTCAGAATTTCACTTTCATGCAGGATAATTGTCGTCAGAATGGTTCATTGATAACATCGATGTTTTATCTTAGTCCTCAAAGTCCTGGGGATATTGTATGGTGGAAAAAATTTACGGCAGAAACTTCAGTCCAGTTAACGTCGAATAACTTTGGGAGGCAATTGAAAACGCATGGGATAACATCACTGAGGATTATAACAAGAAATTAATTTTATCAATGCCATGTAGATTGCAGTGTTATAGACAAAAATGGTGCTTGGACAAAATACTAACTTTACAAATCGCGTTTTTTTGACGGCGAAAAGTGTTTCATTTTTAGATCTCGTCGACGGCGAATGAATGGCCGTTAGAATGTATAAAATATTTCAATATAAGATAAGCTTTTTAAGCTTCTAAGAAGTTCAGAAATAATATCACAGCTGGTCTATCTGATATTTTTTGCTATCTGAAATATCCCTCTACCTGATTTAATTCCCTTCAATTTATAGGTCCGATTGAAAGATGTTATCCTGTTAAGAGATCAAATTGAATTACCAGAGAAACGTTTACCTCGCTATAAATTAATTGGGTTACTAGATGGAAGCTATATTAGCAGTGAATTTGATTGGCGTTTTGTCGAGTCCCGTGCGACGTTGCATTTCTTGCTCTTATACAAATATTAGGGTGGCAAGCAACGTAAATGTAAACATATTAATATATTTATGTCACTCAGAAGTCACGAAATAGAATCGTATTGATTAAATTGATTTTGAAGACAATAATGGTATAGTTGTGAATATACGTATTTCCGTTCAAATTATATTTCCAATGTATTATAAAACAATACAATATTTTTAGTCTTAAAATTTTGAACAGTTGTCAGGTACGTCAAATTATTTTATTAATTAATAACAACAATAACAGCAGAGCAGGAGCAGTTGAATTTATTGACATAAAATACCTGTTATAAAAATTTATTTATGTATTTCTTTCCTTGGGAAAGAAATGTTTTCAATTTTTTGTTCGTTCATTTGCACTGCAAGTTTTGCCTTGCGCTACGTCAGGTTTTACAGTGGACCAGTTTCCAGTGCCGTGCAGAAGTGTATTTTCGTGTGTGTGTGTTCATTTTCGAACTGCACTTTTTGATATTTTTTTACAAAATTGTATTTGTAAGAATCCCCTGTACAATTAAAAATTGGATAAGTTCTGCATCCCCCTGTATAGACCGTACTTCTCACATATTTAATGTTTTTTTTTATAAATCTGGGAGCACTTCTCTCCATGCAAATTTATCGCACTTGGTATTTGGAAAGGAAATGTTGTAACACAATATGTACAATATGTACTTACAAGAACATGTACACAGTTTACAGAAAGCAAGAGCGCCAGAGTTTACATTACGTAAACACGTAGTATTTGTCTGCTAATTTATCTTGCTGTTTAAGGTGAAAATATAGGCACATCAAGTAATGTAACTAAGCTTCTTCGGTTATTATTGTTTTTTTTTTAATATATACAAGGAATTTAAACTTGGATAGGATATTTCAAGAGCAAATATATCGATGTGCAAAAACTTGATTGGTAGCATTTTTTTATGGAATAACTTTTTCAGTGCCTACACATCGATAAGATGAAAGTTTTTGGGAACCAATAGCTCTGTCACTGTTTATAGGTGTTGCAGTTAATTGGCGGTATTCATTAACGTTTTTCACCATATCCACTAATTAATGGTTATTGGGTGTCATGGAACCCGGGGTCGATTCCAGAGATTGTCAATAGTTTTCCACCGATTTTGTTTATTATTAACTTTAAGCGATTTTAACGATTTGGAGTATTGAAAATGGTCGTATTAATGGATTCTACTTATCACTAAAAGCTTGTAAACACCATATGTACTTTAAATAAATAGTCTAGGTTTGGTTGAGGTATAATTAAACATAGTTTCAAAATATGAACCTTATGGTACCCGAAAGTATCCTTAAAAATTGACGAAGCAAGTGAAATGAAAAAGTCTGACTATTACTACAAATTATTTTCTTATTCTGATGTCACTAATAAAAAATAACTTATAGGTAGTTGAACCGGGGGACTATGAACTTGAAATCCAATTTGGTTTCAATAAAAAAAATTGCCAACTTTGTGACGTGAAAAAAAATAAGGACGTTGAAGGTAGGTATATCAAAAAGAGTCAATATTCTTTCTTCCTACGCAACTACGTTCATGTCAAACAGCTTGTTAACAGCAGTGTGTCCGTTAGAAACTTGAACTTTTCTACAAAACAGGCAAAAAGTTTTTATATTTTATTCGGATATTTCTCTGTAGTCTATATCGTAAAACACAAGTTTGTTGAAGAACTTTCTGGGACAAGGTAGCAGCTCACAAGGGTTTCAGAAACTTTAAGGTGGTATACAGGGTGTCCCAGATCTTGACAGGCATTATCCGGGAAACTAGTCGAGATAGAAAGAAATGTTATATAGAAAAGGTTTTCTGCTTAAGAAGATGCGTTTAATCATATTATTTTCATAATATATAGGGTGCCCCAAAAAGATGGTATTAAGAACTTAAATTTTTTAAATGGAACAAACTGTATATTTTTAAGTTTTTGGGTTCTCCTTTTATTTCTGAACATATTTGATTAACCATATTCTATACCTATCATTAACCGTTTGCGACATATTAACAGTTTAATTTTGATTCAGACCTTTTCCATACCTACCTACTCTTAAATAAATAAAGTAGGTGTTTACACACGTCAAAAATTCTTCAATGTAGCTTTGTGACAGTTTCATTGATTAAATTTCAAACACTCCATTTAATTTTCAAATAAGTATTAGATACCTATGCCATTAATTTTTACACCAAATGAATATGTTGATATGTTACTTATTTATGGCGAGTGTCGAAAGAATTCAGGAGCCGCAGAACAATTGTATAGGGAAAGTAACAAAGCTGAAAATAATAAATGTGTCTTTATTTTCAGCACAGAGTTAAAACTGCTTTTTATGTTGAACTTACAATAATATAGACATAAATATACAAAATAAAATAATTTCTGGTATATAAATCAATATGTCTGAAATGCACGAATACGTAGAAAGGAAATTACGCAAAAAATTCATGTCATCTGACTTGCTTTCTTCTGATACGCTGGAATGGTGGAAAACTAGAAACGGACATTAAATATTCTAAATGGATTTTTGCGAAATAAATTATAAAAAAAGTATAAAAAACTCAATTAATTATTGTAAGTGCAAATACGTAATAATTGGACATACATACTTTTAAATTAACATTGGTCTGCCCAAATTAATGAAATTCCATTTATGAGGATCCAATCCATAAGGGAACGTCTTGGGCAAAACAATTCACATTTTCTCTTGAATTAAAACGAATAATTCTTCAATTAAGTCCGGAAACGGTCCCTTAATTGAGTTCTGCAACAGAATTAATTGAAGTATACATTGGAATTTTGCTTTATTAATCTTGAATTGAAACTTTTGAATGTTTTTTATAAATTTCGATTTTCCGACTCGAGCAAGATTAATTGAAGAGTAAATCAATGAAGCCATTTAATTTAATGGGTTGTTTATGTTTAAGAATCTTTAGTGGCGCCCTCCATTGTCTTAACCACTTGATAATAATTGCAACTATGTGATATTGCATTCAGTAAAATATAGTACATATAATGAGAACTAAAGAATTAGCTAGGTAATCCATAGCTATCTTAGTCATCGTTCCCATTATATCGAAAAATATTGAAATTCTAAAATTGTTGTAGAATATTGCAAATACTACCTACTATTTAAGCAAAACTAGTGAAATTTACAAAATTATAGAATTTTTTCGTTAATTAATATCAGAAAAGTTAATTAAATATTGGTAGTATTATGAAACTAATGCGTTTCATATTGCTTAAGAAAATGAGCAAACTTATATACAACAGTACAAAAATATATATTTTTTGTTTTTAAACAAATATATCAATATAATGATTTACTCTCAGGTTACTTCCTGTAAATAATGGAATTTAATTAACTGATTTTGGTGAAAATCCTTCAAGGTAAAAGGAGGCAATTTTTCATTATTTGACATTCTTTCATCGCTTCCCAGGAAATAACTCAGACTTTGAAGTTTTAAATATGACGCTCTCTATATTCTTACATTTTTTATTCCACTCAAAAGCGATTTTAAATTCCCAGGATATAAAAAAAGCTATAAAAGTATTCAAAGTATTTGATATTTTTAGGCTCGTTTTTATTTGCGCTCTAGATTGTAATAAATTAATTCACTTCAAGCTAATAGTCAAAGTAAGAAAGAATTTACATTCTTTTTTAATTACTTTATTCCCAATAACTCTTAAAAGTGTAGAAAATATTTAATTTCGATGCAGGTCATTATTTCAAATAATCTAATATTTTATCGTTGGTTACGATAACTACATTTTATTAGTAAAATACATAAACAAATACAGAAAACGCATTTTTTTTTTGTGAAACCACTCGAATGCTATGATTTTTAATAATCCATTTCCCATAACAATTTCATACGACTTGGTTCTGTAAGATACGTAACAAGAATCTCTCATACCTGGATTTCTACTGGAAGAAAAATCATTCGAAGATTGCAGGTCACTGATTTCAAAGCGATTCATGGTTGATTGAAATTTTTTTTATTAGAGGCATGCAATTTCCTTTAAAGCCGTGTAAGGTGAATTTGCTTACGTAATAATTCAAAATGTTGACGTATGGAAAGCTAAATTGCAGTCAATATTGGAGAAGTACCTTCCAAAAGAGATTTTTGATGCTGATAAAATAGGTCTTTTTCCCCAGCTCTTCCCACAAAAAAAATTGTATACAGAAACGATG